GTTGTCAGTAAAAAAAGTCACAGTTTTTCAGCAATTTATCTTTAAGCATTAAATAACATCTATCATTTTTCAAAAGAAATGATGTCAGCAGTTGAAATCCTAACTGCTGAGTACTGTGAGTTGTGACTGATAATGACCCACTGCTCAGAAATCACTTTACTTACTTTCAATATGAAACATAAAAAGTAATATCACAGCAATTTTCTATAATTCTTTTATTGCAAAACCAATAAACGTTGCAGTGTTGTTAAAAGTAGTAGATTTAAGTAACATTTTATTTCTTCAAACCTAACAATTCCAAAACATATAAGAATACTGTCAGTTTCTGTTAAATATTCATTTTTGTAGAGACTAAAACTTCTTTAGAAAGATGTCTTCATGTATAAAGCAAATTTGATTTTAAATGTGAGAAAGCAATAATCATACCATTTGCTTAAGACCACAAAATATATAGATATTTTATAATATGCATTTTAATAATCACAACCTACTGGGTTCAAGCAGAGATGAGAGACTCTCTTATTTTATGTAGAAAAAGACTGCGCTAAATTGCCTCTTTCCATTTTTCTCAATCTGTTCCTAGAATACAAATGTGATAAATAGTAACATTAGAGCTTTGCTAAACTGAGATGAGGTTCCAGTTTAAATCTCAATAGATAATTATCAGGTTGGGGTCTATAACTACAAAATGATGACACAGGATTTTTAAGAGATATTAGTATCTCTAAGTTTCTGAATTCTGAAAACTGTCCAAGCTTTTTTCATTAAAGCACTTACTATAAAACACATTTTAGAAAGTTTTTGCTCTTGTTAAAAGGTTATAAATATATGGTGGTGCAGAACCAGTCAATCATAACTGATTGATCAATTGCTAATTGTGAACTATTTGACCATGGATGCCAGCTGATTCTATGAACTTCCTCCACTTCTAGCAACTCCTTTCCTTGCTCAGGGAGTCACCACATCACCTTGATTCCTTCTGCTTTGTCTCCACTACACACCAATGTTATGTCCCCAGTCTTTCAATATTAATATTCCCGAGAGATGAGAACTTTTTGATTTTGTATTAGCAATGCAGTAGTGACCAAAACACATTTAGTTATCTTTTGGCTTAGAAGGAAGTATTTGATATGCACTCAATAACTTTGAATGGTCATCTAATTTAACAATTAGTTTATCTGAGTAAATTCAATGGAAGGTTACTTTCTAAGGTGTGTGATATAATACACTGACTTCAGTATCGGCCATTTCACTTAGAAATATCAATTGTCAGCATAAAGTCAACCATTTCAATTAGTGTACAATCAACTGGAAATTAAAGTTTAAGAACTCTTTTTGAAAGTAATGGGATTTGGGTTGGCCATTGAAAAATTATTTTTTATTCTTTAAAGAATAGTATGTAATTGAATTGCTTTATGTTGGATGAAAATTTAACTTTATATTCACTCTGAAGCTGCTGATCTTGCACGCTATCATTACCTATTAAGATTTAAGCCATTTATCTGCCAAGTTTTCTGTTTGTAAAACCTGATGAGAGAACTTTGAACACTTGAACTTTCATACATTTTATTTAGGTGATTAGGACAAATGATAGCCATTTGTAAGCTAAAACCTTTAATCATTCTGTTTAAAAAATAATACAAAATCTGGTTTATTTTACAAAATGAGATTCCAAATTACAACTAGCTCCCACTAAATTCAGACTTTTTTTAGGAAGTTTGGCCCTGAGCTAACATCTGCCACCAATCCTCCTATTTTTGCTGAGGAAGATTGGCCCTGGGCTAACATTTGTGCCCATCTTCCTCTACTTTATATGTGGGACACCTGTCACAGCATGGCCTGATAAGTGGTGCATAGGTCCGTGCCAGGGATCCAATCCGAGGAACTCTAGGCCACTGAGGCAGAGAGAGTGAATTTAACCACTATGCCACTGGGCTGCCCCCTCACTGGCATTTAAATTATTTCAAGAATTATGAAATCTAAAAAATAAATATATAGGATTATGTTATGAACAACTGTTATAAACAATATATAAACAATTGTACCCATTCAGTAACTTCAAAGAACCAAAAAAAAAATTCCCTTTAGTTTCAATAAAATATGCTTGCCAGAATATAGCAATGTGCTAAAAGAGCATGACTTTCAAGGTAGAAGAAGGCGCATGGCTAAATTCCAGCTGTTGTAGGCACTACCTGTCTGTCTATAGTCACCTTACTTAACATCTTTAAGCCTCAAAATAATTTTGATATATAATCAGAAAGACAATAGCAAGTGTTATAGGATGTGGAGAAAGTGGAACCCTCAAACATTACTAGTGGAATGTAAAATTGTGCAGATACTTTGGAAAATAGATAATTCCTCAAAAGCTTCAACATAGTTACCATATGACCCAGAAATTCCACTTCTGGGTTATATCTGAGAGAAAAGAACATGTGTCTACACTAAATCTTATGTACAAATGCTGATAGCAGTGTTATTTATAATATCTGAAAAGTAGAAACAACTCAAATGTCCATCAACTGATGAATGGATAAATAAAATATGATAAACAAAATGAAATATTGTTCAGCAGTAAAAAGGACTGAAGTACTGAGAAATGTTGCAACACAAAAGAACTTTGAAAACATTATGTTAAGTAAAAGCAGCCAGTCACGAAAGATCATATTTTGTATGAATCCATTTATCTGATAAATTTTAACAAATGTATTTTACTATTTTATTTGGGTATTAATTTTCAGTTGTATATAGAACATTCTGTTATACTGGCAATAATCATTGGTATGCTGAAAACTTATCCTACCTGACGCTGATGGTCTTGCCAAGACAGTGCTAAATAAGATAATTATTTCTTGATATCTTAATGTCTGTAAAGTTTTACCAATTTTTGCCCTTTTTAACTTCCTCACCCACTGTTCATTCCCCAACACACTGCTGACTGATTGCTGCCTCCATCATTCCCCTGAATTGCTCCTGCTAAGCTCACTGATTATCTTTTTCTGTTCAGAATCCAATAGCCTTTATCACTTCTTATCTCTTTTGAACATTTAACAGGTTATGTATATTGCTGACCCCTTTCTCTTTGCTTTCACCCTCCTGATTTCCTACCAGCCTCTCAGATTACTCTCACCCCAGAGTCTTTGTACCTTTCTTTAATTCATTTAAATGCTGTGTTCTGGAAACTCACCCAATCATTTTTCTCTTCTCATTCTCTCTCTTTCTCTGCATCTTCCTCTCTCATGGCTTCATGATAGCTACATTTTTATCTTTGTCTTTAATGTTTTACCTGAGTCTCAGATACTTCAATCTATCTACTGGACAAGGACCATGAAATTTCAAATTCAACATGGCCAGAAGAGAGCTCCATCCTAATTGTTACCCTCTTCCTGTAAATTACCCCCACTACTGTTCTTTCTAGTTGCCTAAACCTATACCTTGGATGTCATCCTTAATTCTCCTTTTTACTTATCTCTAATCCATCATCACAGTCTTTTAATTTCATCTCCTATATATCTGTTTAATTTATCTACCTCTTCTAACTCCATGCCTATTGTGCTTTGAGACCACCACCAATTCCTATCTAGATTAGAACAATAACTTCCAAACCTCTTTTAGAATCACTGGTCCAGAAAATATCGTGAGAAAATTATCAATAGTTGTCGCCTCGAATTCCTCTCCTACACTCATTACAGGACACACTGCCTTCTGGTTTATGTATCTACCACCCCACTGAAATGGTCTTGCAAAAGTCACTAGTTATCTCTTGTGGCAAAATCCAGTAGACAATTATCAGTCCATTGGTGGACTGATTATGTCAATGCTCATTTAAAACCATTCAAGTAAACATTATGCCATTATCATGAAATCCAGTTTCTTGGACTTTTGGTTAAATGTGGAAATTTTGACCACACGTGCATTTCTTCTCTTTTCCAATACCCCTCTAATATGGAAATAAGTGAGTATAAATGTATTAACTCACAAGGAAAAATAGAGTCCGATACATTTTCCATGCCAAAGGAAATTGACATGTAGCATAAATTGCAATCCGAATACATGTAGACAGGTTTACTTATAAGAAATGAGGCAATTCATCTGGGGTACATAGAAGCACCAGACAGCATCAAAGACAGAGATGGAGTGCGGGATTAAATACATGAGTATTGTTTAACTCCCGTCAACACTGCATCCCAAATAACTTACCTTCTCTTTCTCCCTTTTAGTCCAGAGGTGCATTTTCTGGGAAAATATTGTGCCAGAAATGTTTCCAGTTCATAACTACAGCAAGAATAGAGATCAAAATAAATGACAGGGCAGGACATAGAGGAAGTAATTGGAAAGTCATATACTGACATGCCTGTTTTCAAAATGCTGGCATGCAGATATCCACTGCCCATATAGAAAGTCAGATAACTCTTCTTTGAAGAAGCTGATCAATTCTAGAGAAAATAAATCCATATACTGACTAGCCTCCACCTGTTGAAAAGGTAACTTATCATCCTCTGTATACCCTATCTACCTACAATAACTTCCAGGTAGCGTCTAATGCCCAATATTGATGCACAATGAAGGATCACTGTACAGTTAAGGGAAATATGAAAAATTTAAATACAAAAGCAAAAAACTAAGAAAAAAGAAATGAGAAAATAGAGACAACAGAGAGTGTAAAAAAATGCCCAAAACTACGTGAATATCCTCCCAAAAATGAGAGAATAGATTTCATTCTTAAAATAACAATACATTGCTTTCAAAGGATCAATGAAAGAATAAGAAAGAACTTTGGAAAATAAGAATATATAACAATTGAAAATTCACTAGAAGGGGTTTGAAGATAAAGTCAAGGAGATATTCCAAAAAATAATAACAGGAAAAAAGAGAATGAAATAGAGAGTAAAATGATGAGACTTTAGAATTGTACTCTGGGAGATTCTAGTAAGTATTTCAGAAGAAAGAACCAAACTAATAGAAGGAATTTATCAAATAAATATTATATCAATTTTTTTCAGAAATAAAGAGTTATGACTCCAGATTCAGCCCACCAAGTGACCATGACAATGAAGGAAAACATGCACACTCGACAATAATTGTGAAATTCCTGAATGTTGAAGAGAAGATATTAAAATCTTCTGGGAAAAGAAACCAAATAAACAAATTCATACAAATGCATACAAAGAATGAGGATCAGATTTGTAGTTGCTTATCTACAAGATAATAGAAGACGTTGGAAAAACAATACCTTCAAATGATGAGGCAACTGATTTCTGACCTGAAATTCTATACCCAGCTAAATTAGCAATCAAATATGGGATAGAGATATTTTCAGATAGGTAAGGATATACAAATTATAAATTTGTACAAAGCTGCTGACAAAAGGAGTAATCGAGAAACAAGATATGGGGTCCAGGTAACATGATATTGAGTATGCCAGAATAGAGAAAAGGATGACTGTTTGTGGGAGGGAACTTTGGAAGCCAAAAGAAAAAAAATCAAAAAAGTGATGTGTTGGAATATATGGAAAAGATACTAAGCATTTGACATATCTGCTAGAGTATTTGAGGGAAAAATGAGATAGATACATAGAAAGATGTGATAGATACAATGCAAACTATGCAAATATGTAGATACCGTGGCAATTATAGATTATAGGAAAGCAAAGAGCTTTACAGGAAAGAAATATAATCATAGTGTACTGTCACCCTGATGTGAATAATATATTTGTAAACCCAACTATTATTTTGATCAAACTTTGCTAAAACTATATTAGTTGAATGAGAAAAAAGAAAGTCGGACGTGGTGGTACAACAGAAAATCAGTAAATAGTGCCCAGAATTATCAAGAAACAGGAAAACTGCCTATTTAATAAAAGTTATTTAGATATATAAGGTTAATGCCAGAACAATCAATCAGGTTGATTATTACTGCCTACAGGAGCAAGAAACATGATATATAAAATGCTTGGGCATAGGAATGCTTTTTGTTTTTACCATAAAACTTTCGTACTAAATTTTTTACTAGGTATATTTATTACTCTGAAAAGTATAAATATAATTTTAAAAACTAAAGACAAACTCTCTATCATGATTTATATGGACCTTGCATAACCTGGTCTTCTATGTCTCCAGTCTCCTTAGCTAATTCTTCCCCTTTTTTACACAAACTCGACATATATTCTCCCCATATACACAGTCCTCAATGTTTCAATCCTTTCAATATTCCAGCCTTTTCTTACTTCTAAGTCTTCCAGTCTCACTTTAAAAAAAAAACAACAAATTATTATTATTTTTACTTGGGAAAAAACAACTGTATCTTTTTCTCTGAAACTCATAGTCATCCATTATGTCTCAGTTTCTCCTAACAAAGGACATGTGCACTCTTACATTCTTCTGGGCACTCTGTAACTAACTTATGAGAGCGCTTCTCTAGAGCAGAAAAATCAAGGAAGTAAATAGCCAAGGTATTGGATAATATCCACAGTGGACTCTCCCTGTACCCATTTTCTGTACCCAAATATCTTAGTTTGCTGTTCTTCATTATTTCTGATCCTAAACTTTATCTTCCTATTCTCTATCTGATTTTAGTGTTTTGAGCCATATCTTACAAACTTGGCTAGTTTTTCAGTTTGAGCTTGGCTTATCTTTTTGCTCTGATTAAACGCTCCAGAGAAACCCCTCCTCTAGCTTTTTCTGTATATTTATTCACGTTCATAATTCTACCACCTTCATTGAATTCTGGGTTCCTAGGGTCATGGTAATTCATAGGGTTTCCCAATCAAACAGCCTCTCTTTTCTCTTCTTGTTATTCAAAGTTTTCTGAGCCACATGCAGTCCTCTCCAAGCAACTGTCATAATTTGACTTCAAATACCCCAAAGTTGGGCATGCCAAAAAGAATTCACCTAATGAGCATTTGTAGTACTCCTTTGCCATATGTAGTTTTTGACTGGCTCATGCATATTCTCAGTTTTCTGCAGGTATATTACAAGTCCATAATGCTTTGCAGACTCAATAAATGTACTCTGTAATCACTTGAATGTCATTTTATGAACGTGCTTTGAAGATGTAATTCATCAGAGCAGAGCAGTTTCTGGATATATTTCTTGCAGTTCAGCAGCACTTAACCAGATGGCCCCCTATAGTTTTGAAGGAGTTAATGCACCTTGAAAGTAGGCTGACTTATGAGAGGAATATAGTCATGGGGGATCAATGGGAAAAGTTTCTTAGGTATAGGATTTTGAAGAAGTGAAATAAATACTATATAAAGATTCATTAAAAACTAAACTAAGTAAAAGTTCTATAATAAAATTAAAATATGAATTATAATAACCTTAAGAAATGTGATGTCTTATGACTATAAGTTCTACCCTTATTATGTATTTCACATTGACGTGATGGATCTTAATCAGTTTCATTAGAAATAAAACAAATCATGAGTTTTATAGTAATGAGTTTGAATAGGCATTTATGTATCTTTTTACAAAGCAGGTCAGTTATTATTTCTGAAAAATGATCATTTTGAAATTTTATATCTGGAAATATATTATCAAACCAGGCCTGAAACTCGTTAAACAGATGGTAAAATCTAATTTAACTTCCTTTAATGCTCTTTTCCTTTTTATCTTATAAAAGCAAATGAGGTTGTTAACTTTTAATTATAAAAGTATAATTTGAATTTATTAGAGATATATATATGACTAAACAAGGTAGTTGCTAAATTTATTCTATCCTAGTGACTTCTTATTGTTCACATTCATTTTTGATCGTTAATTTAATGATAAGAAAATCTTCTCAAGGTTTTTAGCAAAGAATCATATTATCAGAAGAGAAGTTTAAAATTTCTAGAAAATATATTCTTAAAGTACTTAGTAGATATCAAAATGAAGACCTAATTCTTGAGTTTTTTATATATTTGATTTGCACTCATTAAACATATAGTTTAAATTTCATAATTTCCCATATTAAAAAGTGTGAAACCTATCTCAAACATATCAAAGTGAGTTATTTTTATACTTAAATTCTGATTTAAGTAATTGTATTTTTTAATTGATGAAAACTAAATAACAAAGTTATTATATGTCGTCCAAGAGCATAATAGCCTTATTAGAAATCTAATTTTCAATATCTTTTTCACAACTGTGCTCATACCTAGTGAATTTTTTTATGTTTCTACACTAATTCATTGAAGTGTCATTTTTTTATCCATTCTTTTTTTTCTTTTTACAGATTTTATTTTTTTCCTTTTTCTCCCCAAAGCCCCCCGGTACATAGTTGTATATTCTTAGTTGTGTGTCCTAGTTGTGGCATGTGGATGCCGCCTCAGCGTGGCTCGATGAGCGGTGCCATGTCCGCACCCAGGATTCGAACTGATGAAATCTGGGCTGCCTGCAGCGGAGTGCGCAAACTTAACCACTCGGCCACGGGGCCGGCCCCTTTTTATCCATTCTTAAAAAGACTTCTTTATCTGACATTTTAAAATGTATTTCATTTGATGCATTCGATCATGTATCACATCTCAACCTATAAATCCGTTTCTTGTATTTGTAACAAGGAAAAATATTTAAGGTATTATTCATCTAAAATAAACCTTTATGTATAATGCCATTTGTGATGCCTTTTGACTACAATCCTTCATTGTGTCATGGGACCTACCTATATTTCCTCATTGTGTCTAACAGAGTGCATGGAAAGATAAGAAATGTTCAATATATATCTATTGAATAAATGAATGAACTTTGTAATTAATTTGATCACTGCATGTAAAATTTAAATGGAGCAGGAAAGTGAATGTCCCTAATTATCAAATATTAACAGTAATATTTAAAATCATTCTAATTACAAATAATATGTTTTAAATCTTGAAATATAATTTAAAAATTCTTGTACTCTTTTACCTATTCATCCATCCATTCATTCACTGAACAAACATTGATTTAGTACCAACTAGGTGCCAGGTATAGTAACAGATACAAGGAATACAAAAATGAATAAATGAGGGCATTGATGAGAGTAATTATTTTCTAGAAATAATTACAGGAGTTATAAACTAGTCTGCTTCTGCGTAAGTGGAGGAGGGAAGGCTGACAGTATCTCTTGACTTTATTCAACAAATATTATTGAGGTTCTGCATGGATGAGGAGATTTCCTAAGTAGTGGGTATACAAAATTAACTAAGACTGTACCTACTTATAGTAACACATTCCCATAATAAAAAGATAAAGGAATTTATTCTGTAGGTTTTATAGTAAGATTTCAGATCTAGCCTCAGAGAATTAGTCATACTTCTAGGAACCTAGAAGGCATTCAGTTGAGATTGAATACACAACAAATTACCAAAGGATATTTAGTGAAACACTGTGGTAACATTTACTTCAATTAGAATATAGTTATAATTTATTTTAAGAGATACTTTGACTTGCACATAGTAGATCTGATGTGTGAATAACAGAAATACTGAACAATGACAGCTTTGTAGCAGTCAAGCTATTGCCCAAATAATTCTGCTTTAAAAAACTATGTAAAATTTAGTGAAATAATCAATAAGCATTTTTTTTTCTTATTCATGCATCTCTGGTCAGCTGTAATTCAACTGATCTTGGCTGAATTTGGCTGGGGTTTGCTTGAAGTTCAAATCTGTTGCATGCATCCTCAAATCACAGGACCTGAAGTGTGTTATTGTTATGGCAAAAGCCAGGAGTGCAAGCCCAACTGTGCAAAACATGCCAAGCTTTGGCTGCATCAGATCCTTTAAGATATTCTTTTGGCCAAAGCAAAGCCACACAGCAAAGACCAAAGTCAAGCAGTGAAGAAGGGTATCCCTCCTCCGGAGTTGGAGGTGGGGGAGAGAGTGAACAATGACCCCAAATGGTCTAATCTACCAAAATCTTGAAGATTTTAAAATAATACAGTCATCAGCATTATTTTCATTTGTTTGAAGAAGGCTTTGCATAGACAGTGCAGTAAAGAGGTACTATTTGAACTCTTCCTTCATATTCATAAGATTGCTACATGTTTTCCACTTCGATTTTATTTTTATAGACCTTCTTTGTGTACAAATCTGAAAACTTTACACTTAAATTTATTAGATTAGGAAAGGCACATCAACTTAAATCATCATATAAGAAATGTTTCTCAATATTTTTAATGTTTTGTGCTATTAATATTTTGATAGAAAAATACTTGGAATGATACAAGTTATTTCTGTCTGATATTGATTTATTTTAATGACTTACAAAAATCAGAATCAATTACTAACAGAGAAATTACACTTGAAATACAAGTCTGAGCTGCAAATGAGATTGTATTATTATGTTAAACATTTGGACTCTATTTTGTTAGGATTGGTTTATTAAAGCATAATTAGTAACATTATCAGTGGAAAAACATGTCATGCTATAATTAAATCATTTAAATAATCATTTCTTGATGCCTTAATATGCTCGATTTCTCAATTCATTAAAGTAGATAAGAGTTCTCTGTAAATACAATTTATTATCAGTAGTTTGCTTTTCTAGAAATGTTAGAAAATTTAGAATTCTGCATTAACATTTAATAACAATATGCTATTCTGATATTGAGGCATTATATTTATCTACAAAACATGTAACAAGACAGAAATATAAGATTATTGGAACATTTTGCAACATGTTTGCCTTTAGCAATTATCAGTAGTAGAATTTTTTTTTATCTTTTTAAAAATATAGATGATAATGGGAATGGACTAGCTCCAGTTTCCATCTAGGAAGAACTACTTATATACTGAGGTTATGTTTACAGGACACCAGTATTTCCAAACATAATGCATTATTTTTTGTTTCTGATATTCCATGCTTACAATTTGTTCAACCAAACAGGCTGTTAAAACTAATAGTGTAGAGAAACGAGTGTAGTGAGTCTCAGAGATCTCACTGTTCCTCCTGACCCACGAAATTTTTTACTGGGATGGGAGATGGAGATGAAGCCGTTGGGAATGTGGATTCATTGCTAATAATTATTTTACTTCCTTTAAGATGCCTCAATGGACACGAATATGGAAGTGTCCTGGGGATATTCTTTAAAACAAATACTTTCCCTAGGAAATTCAATAAATAGATCCACTTAAGTGAAATAAACTCAGTGCAACTATTTTTGCATGTGAGTGTGTATATGTGTATGTAGACACACACACATCCATGTATTATTAACTGGTTCTCAGTTCCTAAACTGTTAAGCTGAACTGAATGATCCTTCTACTGTGTTTAAGAACCACGTTAGCTTGATAAATAGACTTTCTTAACAAGAAGGACAACAAAAAACTTGGTTGTTCCTAATACTTCCCGTGATGCATCAACTACTCTCTACCCCGTTATCCCCTGCTAAACTGGACTCTGAACATCTGTTCCAATCAGAGTCACTAGTTGATATTGTTGCTGTAAATGACTTTAATAAACATTTTCTCTACCTGCTTTTATCCTAATTTAATTTTCGTATGATTCTTCCCGTGGGATCAAGCAAAAGGAATTACGTGGAGTATCTCTACATGACTCCATTAAGTAGAGTTAAGAAAGAAAAGCTGTTTTTGGAAAGTGATCAGGTTGACAAAATATCCCTCTATTAGTCAAGTCACCATGAATTATGTTTCAGTATAGGAGGCCAGAATAAAGAGTTCTAAAATTTTGTTTGTTTTAGCAGCCAACAATTGGTCACATTGCGTGTTTCAGGTTTACAAAGGAGCCTCATGGTCATACAAATGTAGGACAGGAGGAGACACTTAATTGTGTTCAAGGCTTTAAAATGAAGCCAAAGCGAGAGTTCCAGAAGTTGGCAATATCAGGAAGTCAGTGTCTGGAAGCAGGCATCCTGGGGACCCCAGAAATCTCTTCTCAGACCTCACACCCCTGGACTTTCAGGAATCTTCTACTTGTTCTTGTTTACTAAAATATAATTCATATCACAACAATATCAAAAATCAACTTAAAAAGACAGTAAGCATAAGATAGATTAAAGGACTTGCTAGCCACAATATGCCTGAGGTCTGAGGAGCAGAGAGCAAAGATATGAAGGGGGAGAACAGCAAAATCTAACATGAAAGGAATGGGACATAATGTTAATTAATTTCTTAAAGTTTTACTCCAAAGAAATAACAATATTTCTCAGATTGTCTTCTCAACACCAATTTAATAAATGTAAGTATTTTTGAAAATTTCCCTCTCAGTCCTTTTCCTTGAAAGTGAAATCCATAGGAGAATGACGGAATTTAATTCCATAGCCACCACCTCCTCAGTCCTTTTCTTAAGGGTCTGGAAGTCTTTCTTGAGTTGAGCAGGCTTCAGATTTCTTTCTGATGGCTCTACCAATCTTTGTTTATATCTGGCTTCCTTCAGCCCCAGTACTCCATAATCACCTGGGCTTTTTTGATTATTGGGTGGAATGTATGTGCTATTATTTCAATAATAATGACATAATGAATTAATTGAAATTTTATTCTTAAATAATTATGAATTTTGTTCATTAATGTAAATATTTCTAAAACATTCATAAAAACTTAAGAATTTCAAGTCAAAAGTCACTAATTTAGGAAAAAGAAACATATGATGCATATGTCTTTTAAAGAACAGACATGTACCATTTGTTAT